TCCTGCCCCCGAGTCAGTCCTGGGAGCCCCCCTTACAGCGCACTTCCGGCCTCGTGGGGCGCGGCTCAGGATCCCCCTTCCCAGGCCCCCGGCACCTTGAGGGAGGGGGGAGCAGGGAGAAGGGGCCTCGGACCCCTCCCCTCCGGTGGACTCTTCCTCCACAGCTGAGGAGGCCCGCTCCAGATGCGCTTTCCAGATGCAACGTCCCGCGCGCCCTCGGCTCCTGCCCCTCCCCCTCCCCGTGCTCTTTCGGAGGGAATGAGAGGGACGAAGGAGAGAGGGGGCATGCACTGAGTCAGACTGAGGGACAGGAGCACAAACGGATGAAATTCCTTGACACAGCCCCCCCCCGCCCCCCCTCCCCCCCACACAATGAATCACACTTAACACTTAGGGACCGTTACTGGCACAAAAACAGAAAACGCGCATGCACTAAGCTACACACGGGCGATGCCGTCACAAACGCACAGTGACAAATACACACTTGGTGACTTACACAGGGGCTGACGATGATGCACACACATGAAGAGACATAAGCATAAACACAGACAAACGTGCACACATTGACTACAAACACCTGGTAAGAAAACGTACACCTAGGCTGCAGCTGACAGACACACAAACCTCCCTGCAGATTGAGATGCGCACATCAAGCAACAATTTTACACTGAGATGAAGTGGACAAACATACACGCTAGGATCTAAAGAAGTAAATGAGGCTTTGCTCACACAGAAACAGCCAAGCCATCAAAACACAGCCTGACACACTCAGTATTTCAGACACAGTCACCGAGATGCGAACTAATACAGAAGCACACGCTTGCTAAGACACATAGGGCTGTGGCAGACACACGAGCGTGGAGACAAGGCCATGTGCACATAGGTGGCACTGATACATATCTACACGCTGGCTTTTAAGCACCCATGGTCATCCACCTAGAGGCCATTGGGCCAGCCAGTCCACAGGGAGAGCAGAACTGTGTTGTTACTGCTTGCTGTGAATCACACACACACACACACACACACACAAATACGGGGGCCAACGTGACAGAGTCCCATGCCAACATGCTCACCCTGTGACATATCCACAGCCACCACAGAGACATTCACGGACATAGACACAGACATGTAAATACACAGCCACAGTCAGTGGAAACACACCGAGAACCCTACCACATTGCCCATGGATACATTCTAACTCCATGAAGAAACAGAAGCCCACACCAAGACACATCTGTGCCCAGAGGCACACACCTGTGAACTGACATTGTTGCCTCTACACCGGAAGTGTACAGAGCACACTGCCATCTCTGCCCCTCTACACTCATACACACTCCACCCTCACACAGTAAGTCACAGCTGTGAACACACAAACACAAAGGACAGACACAGGGTGACACTATTGTTAGGGACACACACACACTCTGACGGCCCTGAGAAACTTACAGACATACTCCAAAGACTGAAACACAGTGCGACAAGTCACCCAAGCTGACAGAAACATCTCGCGAGACACACACACACACACACACACACTCAGCCACAGAAGCTGGCTCTCATTAAGACACACTCTCATAAAAGAGGTTGATGCCGACACTGAGATACAGATCGAGAGGGATCTGGACGCCCACCCAGGCCCCCCCGCAGACTGGGACACACACACAGAGACCCCCCCCGTCACAGACTGGGACACACACACACAGATCCTCCCCACACATGGCTCTACCACGTACGGATTATACGCCCAGATGCTCTTACACCTGTGGTCCCCCCAGTTCTCCTTCTTGGGATGGAGTTGGGGGCCAAACCCCCTCCCTCCTCCTCTCTGGGGTCCTGCCAGGCTGACTCAGACCCCAGAGCCACAGGCCTGAGTCACCCCTACGGAGGCTGGCATTCTCGCCATGGCTCTCTCATACACTCAGGGCCCCAGAATGCCGGGAATGTGGGCACCTCTTTCCACCCAGGGACCCGCAGCCAGGAGTCCCCCTCCCCATGCCAGCAGAGGCCAGAGCAGGTTGGGGGAGCCGGAAGCTGACACCCTTCAGGGTCCTGCCAGCTCCCTCCAAGGGATCGGGCCTCCCCGTTCTGTGTTCCTCTCTCCTTCCTCAGTGAGGGGGAGCCCCCTGCACCCACCGTCCCCCAGCACTGCCTCTGACCTCTGTGTGACCCCATGCTAGGTCCCAGAAGGGGATGGTTACTCTGAGGCTCGGGGAGGGGGGTTCCCCTGTCACTCAGATCTTCCTGTCCTGTGTCTGTCCATCTTGGGTTACCTCTGTGGTTTATGCCTTCCTGGGTCTGGTTTTCTCTCTCTCTGTATCTGTCATGCTCCATCTCCCACTTTCTCCCCCCCTCTTTGCTCCAGGCTCTTTGCTGTGGGCCTTCAGTGGCAGAGGTGGGCAGAGTAGGGGAGGTGGGATTGAGGAGGGCACGGTGAATCCTGGTGTCCTGCTTGGGGTCAAGGGCTGACGAAGGGCCATCAGGCCCACACACACTTGGGCCGTGAAACAGCTCGGAGGAAACCCAGGACAAAGAATTCTATTCAGAGAGAGAGGCTGGGGTAAGTGGAGGGAGAAAGAGCAGAGAGACACGGAACGGGAGAGAGATGGAGCCCGGAGACAGAGATGGAGGAAGCATCCGGAGAGGAGGGAGGAGACAGAGACCGAGAGGCAGAGGCAGACTCAGAGACCAGAGAGAATTGGACAGAGAGGGACAGACAGGGAAGGACAGAGGGACAGGCAGAGAAGGACAGAAGGACAGGCAGACATCCACTCAGAGGCATGAAGCACTCCCTCGGTCCCCACCTCCGTCCTGCCCAGGCCTCTCCGCTGAGCTGGCCGCATTCCTGGACTCACCTGGAACACGCAGTACGTGCTGGGGGCCGTGGCCCGTGGCTGGAGCCAGGGGTACAGCATTCTGGAGCCAGAGTAGGTCCACGGGCTCTGGGGGCCCCTGGGCCTGGCAGCTCAGGTTGAAGGGGGTGTTGGCAGCCACAGTCCTGTCCTCAGGCTCCTCCAAGAAGTAGGCCAGGATATAAAGTCATATACAAAAATCAATTGTGTATTTATGTACTATAGCCAATAATTGGAAAATGAAATTTTTAAAAACACTCCATTTGTAATTTACAAAACATAACTGGGTCCCTCTGAGCACCCCAGGTGTCTGACTCACTGCTAGGCTGTTGGAGGCTGTAGGATCTTTAACTTTGTGTCTGCCCCCTCAGGCTTCTGCCCCAAGACACCTGATTTCCCCCCAATAATGTCAGGCCCCCCCCAGGACATCTGAGCCCCTCATGTTTCTTTTCCAGAATGTCTGACATCTCATCCCATTTCACCAATGAGGAAGCGAGGCCCCTGCAGGGGGGCGGGGGAGAAGGTTAAGTCATGCCTGTGACTCCTTATCTGACCCCAGAACGTCCTACCCCAAGCATGGCTGACCCCAGGACATCCAACGACCCCCAAGATGTCTTCTTTCCCAGACACATCATCCCACCCTTTCTTGCCCCCAATAATTTATGGACCCCAGCTTCCTGAACCCCCAAGATCCTCCAGCATCCTTTGACCTCTCGGGATTCTTGACCTCCCATGACCTCTGAGCCCAGGGCTCACCCTCGAGCCCGACGTAGCCGGGCCGGGACACAAAAGTCCTTCCTCCCAGGACCACAGAACACTGGTACCATCCCGCGTCCGAGAGCTGCAGGGACGAGAGTCTGACAGGGACAGAGGAGGGAGAGAGGTCCAGGGTTAGAGCTGGACACTGGGAGGGGGTCATCAGGACTGAGAGGGGGGGTCTGGACTGGAAGCACAAACGGCCTCAGAAGCGGGCACTATTATTAACTCCTTTTACAGAAGGGGAAAGCGGGCTGGAAGCCAAACAGTTAGGGGGTAGCCAAGCTGGGGTTCCGAGTCAGGTGGGGCTCCTGACGGGGACTCCTCACCCACCACGTGATGGAGGCGGGGGCCGGGGACAGGGCTCAGGAGGGATGCAAGGTCATGGCTGGTCACCTGAGCTGGCTGATCACTTTCCAGTCATCCTCTCCATCTTCGTCCAGGGGCACTTGGATCTGGGTGCTGTCCGTCAGCTCTAGGACCTGTCCATCCCGAAGCCAGGACACCTCAGGGGGCTCCTCGTGAACCAGGAGCTCACACCGAAGGGCCCCCATGAGTCCCCGGGCCCCAGTGATGTTCTCTGGGCTCGTCACAAAAGGGTCCACCTCAGCCTGGGAGCCTGCAGGGAGGGGACAAAGAGTCAGCTTAGGGACCCTCGCTTTCTTCGGACCCCTCCGTTCCAACCCTCCTGGTCTGCCTGGGGCTGCCAGGAGCCTGCCAGGCCTTCAGGCCCACATAGTTGTAGTGTGACCTCAGCGGGGGGTGGAGGGAGGAGGCTTCAAGGGGAGGATGGGAGCCGTCCCAGGGGACCAGGGTCCAGCCTCGATCCTCGTCAGCTTCCATCCTTCATCGCTGGGAAGTAGGCCCAGGATCTGGCAGCCTCCCACGCCCTGGGCTGCCCGTAGGGCCAGCCCTTGCTCCCCCTGCCCTCCTGTGGGGTCTCTAGAGATTTGACAGATTGGGTTGGTGGGTGGAGGGGAGCAGGGGGAGAGAGAGAGAGAGAGAGA